GAAACAGTAAAGCACTCAAAAACAAAGCAGCTGAAGAAAAGAACATCAAATTAATAATTTATGCTCAGAAATTGAGCTACAAGTTCAAATAAGTTAAGAAACTATATCGGAAGCCGCCCACAAGCGGAAAATAACAGCTGCTGAAATACGTACAAAAGCAAAAAATTAAACTGTTTTGTACGACAAGGCAAGCTGAAGCAAAAAACAAACAAGGCAAAAAATTCAGAAAGCGGCAAGTCTAAAGTTGAGCGCATGATGAACCGCAAGATTTTGAAGACGACTGCCCGAGTTCCTATGCTTCAGCTCGAGGATCAGACTGGTCAACATTGTTGAGCCTCATGGTGGTCTCAGCCCCAGCAGCAGAAGAAGCAGGCTTTGCACTCTGCCGAGCCTCCCTTTCCCTCTGTTCAGCCTCCAACTCCATTCTCTCAGCTTCTTCTTCGGCTTCCTCAGCCTTAAGGATTTCAGCTTCGACTGGAGTTGCATACTTCATATGAGGGTCTTCGGGATTCTGGACCCATTCAGCACATTTGGACCAGTCCAACTTCGGCTCAGCATGAAGGCAGACTCTTCGGCACACTCTGAACCCATTTCTGAAACCCATTTCATATTCTTCCTGGGTATAGACACGGACTTTGAGTAGAGCCTCAGCATCAGCCAACTTCTTCTGGGTCTCCTCCAAGTCTTCCTTGGATTTCTTCAGCTCATCGGCGAGCTTGAAGGAGGAACCTTTTAGCTCATTCAGCTGCTGCTGAACTTGGGAAGCCTCTGCCTGGGCCTGGGCCACTTCTTCCTTTTGGCCATCAGCTGATCCTCAGCTTCTTGGAGCTTAGCTCTCTGAGCTTCAGCGGCAGCAGCAGCCTCTGAGAGTAGGACATCCCTGGCTTGGAGCATCTCTTTAGCAGCCATTCTGCTGGCTTCAAGAGCTTCTGGCCGTTGCTGCACTTCAGCTTGTGCAGCAGCTCCTTCCTGGATTCGGCTCTCAATGGTAGCCTTGAATTTGGAGATGTCCACTCCCATGTGCTCTTGGAGGAATTTTTCCCCTTCCATCAGTGGGGGAAAAACTTCCTTCTCCATAGCGTCGCAGAAGGTTTTGAAGGCTTCAGCAGCTTTTTTCTCGTATTCCTCACCCTTCTGCTGCTTCTCTTCAGCTGCTGCTTGCTTCAGCTTAGCAAGCTTTAACTCCTCTTCGGCTACCTTTTTTGTCGTGCTCGGCAGCGTCAACCCTATCTTGTAGGGTATCTATCAGCTCAACAGTGAGAGTCTGATTGTGCACGAACTGAAAACAGGAGCACAAGTTAAAATAAAAAATAGAGCTGAATTTTAGAGGAGATAAAGGCAAGGAAAATCACCTGCATCATCAGCAGTTGGTTAGACCTGGCTGGGTCAGGAACTGATCTGCTGGATTCGCTCATCCCAGCAGTGGCCTTCAGCGACCAGATTCTTGCCCTATCTACTTCGGACGTGCCAGCAAAATCGCCGAAGTAGGCTGCAGCACCTTCTCGGTTCTGACCCCATATGAGGTCCCAGATGTGATCTGGGATTGGAATTCGGGGGGCCGAGAAACCCATTTCTCCAGATTGCAGAGTCTGGAAGGAAGGAAAGGATGACGACGGAGCTTCTTTAACTTTGGATGGCTCAGCATCCTCCTTCTCAGAAGAGTCAATTATTATGACCTCTTCTTCTTCAGGGGTGAGGACGAAAGCCTCAACCTCTCTTGCAATGTCTGCCGTGAAACCCTCAGCACTGGGCATCACGGCATCCTCATTCTTGTGCTCAGCAGCACTCTCCTGAACTTCTTCTTGGACCCCTCCCTTAGGTTCGGGAGTTTTCTGATCCACCTCCATCTCGGGAGGTGGCGGAGGGGTCTTTGGAGGTGATTGAGGTGGTGGCCGGGGAACCCTCGGCGATCCATTGCCTTCCTCGGGTTCCCTTATTCCAACGCCAATGGTCATCGGCCTCCGCTGAAAGTCATGGGGGCCGATGATGGCCATTCTTCGGCGCCTTTTCTGAAGCGGTTGCTCGTCCATGTCTGAGTTTGAAGACTCTTCTTGTATCTGGTCTTCGGGACGAATAGGGGCTTTCCCTTCTCTGTGTCTATTACTCTCTTCAGACTGTAAAAGACGGGGGAGGAAGAATGTGAGTAAAAACAAAACAAACAGAAACAGACAAAGTTAAGTCTGAAAGCTCACTGAGGTCTTCAGCAAAGCCTCGTCTTCTTCAGCTGCCCTAGCTGCAGCTTCTTCTTCAGCAGCCCTGGAGGACCCTTCTCCTCCTTCACAAGCTTCAATAACCCGTGCAACCTCTTCGGCCGTACGGGCAGCTTCAGCTTCTTCGTCCAGCAGCTGAAACCAGTGATCTCTCTTCTTCCACCAAGGCTTCTGCCTTTGATACAGAGCAACAACCTCAATTTGGAAGTGGGAAGAGTCTAGATGAACCTCTCTATGCCGCGGTTCAGTGATAGAGGGGGCCCGATCAGTTACAACTCGTTCTCGGTTGACGCCAAGACGAACGTAGTTAATGTCGACGTTGGTCTCGTCCCGCTCTGAAAAATAAAAGGGGAAAGGTCAGTTCAGTCAGGTTGGCACAGCATAAAAAAGCGAAGTGAGAGGAGAAAAAGAGATAATTTAAAAGCCTCGGCCCCAGCCGAAGAAGCTTACCATCCTTAAACTTTCGGCTGAGGCCGACAGCTGCTAGCATGTTCTCTTGGAAAACATAATGCGTATCGGGGAGCCAAGTCTCCGGGATATGCTGCATTCGGCCGCTGCCCCCCCGGTTCGGCAGCTTGCCGAAGATATTCTGTTGATTAAGGTTTGGATCTGGGCCGTTATCTGCGGGGGGACCTAGACTTCCCATGTCGGGATCAGGCTCAGCAAGGTACCGGGGAGCGCTGAAGACGCAAGGGTGGCCCGGGTCCGTGGGTGCCCTAACCCAAATCCATTGACCTCTCCAGTCCTTGTCTGAAGAGTCGTTCGGCCACATGGTTAGGTACTGGGGCCGAGACTCAATCCGGTACCACCCAGAACCATGACTTCCGTGCCCACTTTGAATATTTGGCACTAGCCGATGAAGCTTTTTGAAGCAGTGCAGGTTCGGCACATACTTGAAGAACTTGCAGACCCATAAGTATGTCATCACCCTTCGGATGCTAGTAGGAGTTAGCTGACATAGGGAAATATTGTAATGGATCAGCAAGTCTCGGACGAATACGTCCAAAGGGAACCTCAGCCCATACTGAAGTTGTCTTGTGTACACCCCCACATACCCCGGGGGTGGACGATGGATTCTATCGGATGCCACGGGCATTCGGCACCAATACCCATCAGCTTCAAGGATGCCGTAATGCAACTCAATTTGTTCGGCAAACCGATACTGTTCGGCATTCTCCACCCACCATGAGTAGGGGCGGTTCTTTATCATGGCCGAAGCTACTTCGACATCCTCCCACTCTGAAAACCCGGGGAGGATATCCCAAAGGACAGCGGGAACTTCATCGTCCCGCCCAGAAGCGCTCGGCCCCTCTGTTCTCTGAGGAGGAGCCGAGGAAATTGGAGTCGCCCTAATCCCTTCAGTAGGGTCAGACTCTGCTCTTTGTCCATTTCATGTCCCAATCCTGTTCCTAGGATCGGGAATTGGTCTTGCTCTTCTTGGAGCACGGGCTCTACCCCTAACTCCTCTCGCCATTGATAATTTCGAAGAAAAAAGTCGAAAAAAAGGGAAGGAGTTCGAATTCGAAGAAAAATAAACTAAAATCAAAGGAATTTACCTTAATCTGAAGCGAAAGTTGCCGATTTACGAATTGGTAGTGGCAAGTCTCAGTTTCTAAGCTTAATGCTCGGGGAATTTGCGAAGTTTTGATGCGGGTTCTTGGGTTCCCTCGAGAATTCTGGGTTTGTGTTGGTGAATAAGTGAGGAGAGATGACGCGCCTCTGATTATATCTCCAGAAATGGGAATACGGGGAGTCCGCGTTTCAATTTCTCTTAAATACCCCACTAAGTAACCGTTAAACACACGACCTTGCGATTAAACCGCCCATTATCCGTCCAACTTCCACAATTATCCGCCTTAACTGTTGTTATCTCATTAATTACGGTTTAATTACGGTTTAAATTCAAATTTTTGGATTAATTAAATCATTCACTTCCCTCCTTTTCTGATTAAATCAAACCCGACCCGTCATCCTTCCAAATCGGGTCTGGGGGGCAAGTTGTTTGGGTCCAATTTAGTCCAATTGGGCTTAGGCATTAAATGATCCAATTAAAAGCCCAAGGTCAAGGTTCATCTCTCCAATTGTGCTAAAGTCAAAGATCAGTCCTTTAGGCAAGCCAATTGGGCTAAGGCCCAACTTCTCCATGTATGCAGAGGTATAAAAGCCATCAATATTACATTTGTACATTTCATTCAAGCAAAGCCTCAAGCAATTAATTCTCTTGCATAGTGTTCTCTCTCTACGCACTGTACTGACTTTAGCATCGGAGGGGCCTTCCTCGGCAACACCCCCGAGGCTAGTTTACGTGTGTTTACTGTGCAGGAAACCTTCGGCCCAACATTTCTTGGATCGAATCTAGTCTTTACCACTTCATCGGACCTTCGGCAAGGTCCCATTGTTTTCACCCGAAACACTTACTATCATAATCTGCATTGATGTACAAACAACAACTCCACTCCCATCTTAAACAGGTTGCAATGCAAACAAAATAAGATAGTATGTAGAAGTTCTATAAGCTTAATGTAAACCTGTAGTTAAGATAGCTCGTAGTTGTTCTATAACCTTGATTATCAGTCTTCTTTGATTTTGTTACTCGAGTTTTAAGACATGGAGAAAGAAAGTGAAGTGAACCTTAACCAGATAAGCAAGATAATTATCACTAGTTTTATGTTTTAACTTAGAACAAGTGTAATAATTCAAACAAAAAGGTAAAATAATGTCATCCCATTTGTTAATCAAAGCCAACCCCTTTATTTTTTTCCACTTTTCTGGGGTTATAAATACACCCCCTAACCTCATATCTACTTCCTAACTACTAGTCCAACATTCCCTCCTAAAAATTTGGACTAATATTAGGAATAACATGGGTAGAATTACAATTACAAGTACACTTACTTTATCATTTTTTCTCATTATTCTTGTTTATTCAGCTAGTGCTAACAATTCTATTCCTAAAGGTCTTTCCTATGATTTTTATAACAAAACTTGCTCTCAACTTGAGGACATTGTCAGAGCTACTCTTGTTCCTGTATTTACCAGTGATCCTACTTCTGCTGCGGCTCTCCTAAGGCTGATGTTCCATGACTGCCAAGTTCAGGTACTCTTTCTCTAACACTTCCTGGCTTCCCTCGAATTCTGTAACAAGTTCATACTTAGCTTTGTACTCGTCTGTCTTTCAAATTGTTGTACTTAATCAACTAGCTGTTAAGTACTGTTTTTCTTTGTTCTACTTTTAAGAATATATTTCAGCACAATCTTTCTGCTTGTCGAAGTTATTGGTTCTTACATATGATACCTCCTAAAAGTTTTCTTATTGTGGTTTATAGTTAATAAATTTAATAGTGTATCATGGTAATGGTACAATGCAAGGTTGGCAAGTTACACTGGCCTGTTAGTACTTAGTACACGTTGTTACTAGCAAGTTTTCATGCATGATGCATCTTGGTATGAGTTTTTCTAACAGTAACATTTTTCTTTGTCAGGGTTGTGATGCATCAATTCTAATCGATGTGTCAAACTCGGCCTCCTTAGAGCCACCAGAGCTGGGGGCAAAAAAGAACTTTGGGATTAGAAAGAGGGAATCAATTAATCAAATAAAGTCAAGGATTGAAGAAGAATGTCCAGGACAAGTCTCCTGTGCTGACATTATAGTGTTGGCTGCGAGAGAGGCAGTGGCTATTTCTGGGGGTCCAAGAATAATAGTTCCTTTAGGTAGGAGAGACTCAATCTCGGCTTCAAGTTCTGAAGCCGCTGATGCTTCCCTCCCTTCACCTGATTTTGGAGTTGATGACGCTCTAAGCCTTTTTGCCAAGCTTGGGATGACTACTCGGGAAGCAGTTGCCATTATGGGTACTTTCATTTTTCGGTTAACTTTTTTCACCATAATCTGGCTCTCTACTAGTGTATGGCCAGTGAGACGGGTTGCCTAAGGCTATGTCATATATTATTGACAGATCAAGCTGACACATTGCATAACAAAACTTGAAAAATACTAGCTATGTTATCCTCAAGAAATTGAAAAAGTGTGCTTTAACATGTTTCATTTTGCGTTTCAAGTATATAATACTTTATCATTCAACATTTCTTTGATCATTTTAACATAAAGTAAACCACAAATTTATGGTTGCAGGGTCACATACTTTAGGAGTCACACATTGCTTAAACATCATGGATCGTTTGTATAGGCCATCTGACGCGAGAGGGAGCTACATGGATCCTAGATTTGAAGCACTCTTGAAATTCAGCTGTCCTGAAAACATACCCTTTTCTCAAAATATAAGTTTTGTGCTTAATGATCCTTCAGCATTTATGTTTGACAATTTGTACTACAAGAACTCCCTGCAGCGTCGAGGTGTGCTAAGGATTGATGCAGAGTTGCCCCTAAACACTCGAACTGCAGGGATTGTGGAACAATTTGCATCTAATGCCGATGATTTCTTTCAAGAATTTGGTTCTGCTTTTTTAAAGCTCTCATATGCAGGAGTGTTAACTGGTAATCATGGCATAATTAGGAGCATGTGTAACTTCGTAGACAATTAAGTAGTCATGAGTTGCTACCTAGCAGCATGTACTATTGTATTTATCACTAATATGTTGTTAAGTTATGATCATCATGTTATGTTAAAAGCTCTGTTGTGTACTTAAATTTGATTTTATGAGAATGGAAGAAATTCATAAATCATTTCTGCTTAGAACAATTTTTTCCTATATGTATATTTGTGGTATGTATTTTCCAAACAATCAGTCTCTTTTTTCTTTAGGAAATTCTATTTATTTATGTATTCTTAGGAATCAAGCTACCATTGTTTTCCTAGCTAAGATTGAGCAAGAGTTGGTTAATTGACTAACTCAGATGAATTTCTACTATTGTAATTAAATTTTATCTATGACAATATTAACCACTTTGTGATATCTATTACTTTGTATGAAGCAAAAACCAAAATCATACAAACTACAATCAAAATAAAATCTTGAATAAGAATGTTAATGAGCCTAGCTGTGTAGCTCCAAAATTTTAAGAGACTGAGCAGAACTAAGCTCAACTCAAAAAGTTTGTGAAAAAGCTCTAAATACCTTTTAATAATTTTATTTTACATATTATTATAACATCTTACTCAAATTAGTACAAGTAGTAGATATGTGTACAATAATGTTAAAAAATTCAAAATGGAATATTCAAAACGTTTATGAAGTATAGGCTTGAGGATAATCAAAGTGTGCCAAGCTGAGCCCTAGCAACCCTGAGCTCGATTCAGTTCATTAATATCCCTACTTTAAAACTAGAAACAGAGTTCCATATTCTGTACGCTTTGCATTTCTTTGTTTGACTGGTCAAACTTTTGTAGTGAAATTTTTTTTTTTGTCAAAAGTAGACTATGCAATTTTTATCAATACGAAAAACTATCCACCCTACTTTGCTTTTTTTTTTAAAAAAAAAAAAACCCTAATTTTAAAATCTAGCGATTCAGGCCAATGCTCTCACAACGAGCTGTGCCCAGTTAATATGCAATATTAACGAAACATGTTAATATGGTGGCATTTTCGCAATTATGAGCACTTTCTGAAATATTTTAATGTTATTTCTGGATATTGTTGATGTGACACTTAACTAGATGCTTCCTAACGTTTTTGAAATTCCGTTTTTGTTCTTCATTCTGGAACATACGAGCTTTCATACAACCCTGTTCCTTTCTCCTTTCTCCTCTCGCTGTACTCTTCTCCACCATATCGAAAGCCGATTTCCCTTTCCGCCATATCACTTAGATCTCCACCATATCAGAAGCCGATTTCCTTACACACAAACCAAGAAATAACACTGACTGTTGTTAAGTTCAACATTGATAATTTGTCTTCGCTATTGAAGAACTATTTTCAGTCATTAACAACTTGGTGACAATATTAGATGAACAACAACTCATAGCAAAGCTGCACCGCTGCAGATTATTGTCTGATTTGGAGATCTCACAACAGGAGAAGAAAAAAGGGACAAAAGATATATATTCACAGATCCAAATCGATTGCCGGTGAACAACACCATGATGCATAATCGAATTACCAAATTATTTGTGTAATAATCAAATTTGACAAAGTCATAATCAAATTACATATGAGACCAAAATTCTAGTCCAACAACCGACAGATTACACCTAAAACACCGACTAAATGACGAGTCTACCCTTACTAAAGTGTGCGAATTGACCACCGCACCCCATATAAAGTCTACCCTTACCCGATCCGATAATTTGTTATCGAGTACGGTTATCAGGTATCATTTTAAAATTAACGGTTACTCGATTCGATCCGATAAGCAATTTTTTTTTTCCTACTTAAATCTATTTATCCAAAATCTAAACTCTTACTTTACTTCATAATCACTTCATAATTTAAATGATTAGTATTATTATTAGTAATTTAGTCATGATCATGTGGTATTATTGTTAATTAGTGTTGAATGATATCATAATAACTAAATTATAAAGTCTAAATTTTCATTATTGGATATCATATTGGGTACCCGATAACTGATCTGAAAATCCGCGTAGCAGAAGTTCGAAGTTCAGGTACCCGAACTTATCGGTTCGGTTAATCGATATCATTTTTAGTGTTATTGGTTATTGGGTACCCGAACCGATAATGTTAACGGTACGGGTACCCGACCCATGCTCACCCCTACCGCATAGCACTAATTGAAATACGAAGGGAGTATGCGTCATATTTATTCAAAGCCAAAAATCAAATCATTAAAAATAAAAATAAAAAAGAATTCTAGTGACCCTCTAATATTGCATTTTGCCCCTCCTTTTAGAAGTTACACATTATAACCCTTTCGTAACTAGTAACTCTATAGTGACCTTGCAATTAACGGAGTTACGCTTTTTATTTCAATCACGTTAGTGGGGCCCACTCTCCACCTATTAATTGTTTTTCTCAATTTACGTGATAATTGTTGTTGTTTTTTTTTTTTTTTTTTAAAGGGTGCTAATTAAGGTAGGCATAGCTAGCAATTGTTCGAATCAATAGATAATCAGGTAGGGTTATTTCAAGCCAAGACTTTAGTCAAACTCGAATCGCGAGATTTTTTTTTTATTATTATTATATTGTGATTGTTATTGTTATAATTGAAAATTGTTAGTGTAAATATCACTGTTCTGTTTTTTTAGCTTTGTTATTGTTTAATTTGGAGAATTATCAATCTTAATTAGTTCGATTTTATCCTTTTTTTTGAGTGGTATCAATCTCGGAGTATTATCATTATGTCCAATTTGTTTTTATTTTTTGTTTGTAGATTTTTTTTTTTAAATAGTGTTTGTTGATTTTTTTTATGCCTTAATTTTGAGTTTTTATTATTTGAGTTGGTATATATATACGTAGCATTATTTAAAGTAGTAAGATGTAATTATTGAAATTATAGAAAATTCTAGATGAATTGAAGAACTTCTTGTAGCTAACTCTCTAGAATTTCTTAAAAGAAATAAAATTAAAGCAGAAACCGTTAATTGAAATATGAAAAAAAAATGAAAACCGCTAATTGAAGTATGAAAATTGCAACTTGAAGTAACTCAATTTTAAAAATCGCTGAATCGATTAAAAAAAGAATTTTTTTCTACACATTTTTGTGGACATTAAAGTGGAAATTTATTCAAAAAACAGTTATACTTTGATAATTGGATCTTTTTGTGGTATTATTTAAGGAAAGCATAAAATAAGGTAAATATTGTAAATCATAAAATAAGGTAAATATTTTCCTATGTCAATGCATGTGTTCACATGTGCAACCTTCTTAATACATAAAAAAAAAAAAAAAAAAAAAAAATCTGTAATTTTCTTCTCGATTCAGAATTTATTTGTAGAAACAGTCCCACACCAAATAGGACTGCTTCAATTCTGCAATAATTCGTAAATCAGTGAAAATGGAGATGATGGATTGGTGGGAATCCATGCCTAAAGTCGAGCTCCATGCCCATCTCAATGGTTCTGTCCGAAATTCCACTCTACTGTATAATTTTCTCAAAACCCTCTTTTTAATTTCATTTTCTTCTTCTCTAATCAATTTTTGTAGCATAATTCTAATACCCAGTTTGAATTTCTTGCATTTTCATCTTCTGGCATTTGAATTGTGTGAAATTCTGACCAAATTTGAGTTGAATTACAGAGAACTTGCTAAAGACTTGGGAGAAAAAGGAATTATTGTTTTTTCTGAAGTTGAGCATGTTATCCTCAAAAGTATGTATGATTGTTGTTTTTGAAGATAGTTTTGAATTGCCATGATTTTTGGTGGGTTGTAAGTTGTTATGATTATGTTATGCAGATGATAGATCTTTGACTGAAGTGTTCAAGCTGTTTGATTTGATTCACATTCTTACCACTGATCATGCTACTGTCACCAGAATCACCAAAGAAGTATGATGGATTTTCCTTTTTCTTGGTGTAATTTTGGATCTTTTTCCGCTTCGATTTCGTTGAATTAGCTATAATCCATGCCCATGGTAGTTTGATCACATTGATGTTAGGGAAACAAAAAATATAGATATGATTTCTCAATATTAGTTTGATTGTCCTTTTCACGAATTGAACTTTAGCATGTTTTAGGTAGAATTTTTCTCAACATTAGCCTAACTTGACTTGGATAAAGGGAGACATGATGAAAATGGGTTTGCAAGAACCCGTAGCGAAAGATAGAAGCAAATGTAGGAAGTTTGATTCTTGGTTCTTGTTGCCAACCCTATTATTTTGGTAGATTGGCTTTGATTTTTGTTATTTTTTGTTGTTTTAGCCTAAGTTGAAGTTGAACCACAATCAGGTGATTGAGATGACTGATTATTCCAACTATAGTATGTTAGGAGGAGGAAATTTAAACGGGGGGAGTTTAGTGGAGTTATTTGAAGTTGGGATTATATTAGGAAGGTTACGTAAACTTGGGATTGTTGCTGTCAATACTTAGAAATACCGAGGTATCTTGATAGGTTAGAACTTTGTTAGGATATAAACTTGTTAGTCCTTATATTTTATCTTACCTTTGTAGGTTGTTGAAGATTTTGCTGCTGAGAATGTTGTCTATTTGGAATTGAGAACCACCCCTAAGGTACTAAAGCCAAGTTTGTTGGCTAATTTTGTCCAATATGAAGATTTGAGTTAAGTTTAACTAAAATAAAAGTAACTTGGCTTATTGACTGGGAATGTAGAGGAATGATTCTCGAGGAATGTCCAAACGTTCTTACATGGAAGCTGTGATTGAGGGTTTAAGAAAAGTTGATGTCTTAGACATTGATTTTGGTTCTACTGAAGTTGGATTGGAGGAAAATGGGAAGTCAGGTCAAATGATTGATGACTGTGTCGGCATTTCTAGGACAAAGATATATGTTAGGCTTCTCCTCAGCATTGATCGTCGTGAGACACTTGCAGCTGCAATGGAAACTGTAAGTATCTTGCTTTTTCATGAGGTTTAGCTTTGTTTTTTGATGGTTCTCTGAGCAAAGAAAATTAGAAAGTTTATACTTATACTCATGGAATGTGACAACTTGCAAAAATGATTTTAGGTCAAGCTGGCATTGGAAATGAAAGATCTTGGAGTGGTAGGTATTGATCTATCCGGGAATCCTAAAGTGGGAGAATGGTATATGCTAAAACATTTTTCCATACAGTTACACAATCAATGTGCTTCACTCCATTTGAAAGTGTTATGCATGGGGGCATGTTTGAATTTTGTTGTAGGATAACATTTTTGCCAGCTTTGAGATTTGCCAGAGAACAAGGTCTTCGTGTTACTCTGCATTGTGGAGAGGTATATTGGAATTTTGCCATATGTCCTTAGTGCAAGTCCCTTTTATTGTTGTCTTCATTTTAGCTAATTTGGAATTTCTCTGATTTGTCTTTAAACGTAGTGTTGTCTAGGTCCCTAATCAGGAGGAAATACATGCAATGCTGGACTTTCTTCCTGAGAGGATTGGTCACGCTTGCTGCTTGGAAGAGGATGCATGGAGAAAATTAAAAATTTCCAAGATCCCGGTTTGTGCCCTTATATGAATTATAGAATTAAAAGTCACTATCCCTAAATAGTTAGTAATTTATGCCAAGTGCCTTATTTTAAAATCTTTGTGAAACCGAGCTATGAATACATATCATTATCTAAGGATGATGCCTTTATAGTTCTAACATATTTTTACATCACCTTTGTGCTTGGAGGCTCAACGTAACCTAACCTCATGGTCAGGGGAGTCATTTGTGGTGTGGGCCTCTGGGCTAGGCTCTCACATCACCCAGAAATCCACCCTTGCAACAATCTTTGGCTGGTTAGTTTATTTATGTTTCAGGTTGGTTATGCCCAGCTGTGTAGTATCATCCCCTCCCAATGTTTGATGCTCTGTCCTTTTTACTATTTATCGCTAAGTAAACTGCCACCATACTACTCCCTCTGTCAGGAATTAGCTGTGGCATTCTCTAGATTAATGATCAGGGGATTTGACATGATCTCACAAAAATGATCTTCATAATAGTTGTGTGTTTTTGTATGTTCTCCCACCATTTAAGTAGTGTTGTTTTATGACTTCCAATCTTAACCCATTACTTGAATATTCCAGATGGAGGGTGCATATTAGATAAACTCTGGCTTTTCTCTGTTTCTTTATGCCTATTAATGAGGTAAATGGGCAAAACTGGATTATTGTTGAGCATAATTTTCAATTTTGCAGGTTGAAATATGTTTGACATCTAACATCCGAACTAATACAATTTCCTCCATCGATGTTCATCATTTTGGTTCGGTTCCTTTCTAGTTAAATCTTATGGAACTAGTCTACTATTTCAGTGAACATAAGCTCTTTGAGAACATGATGCATTTGTTTGTTTGACAGCTGATTTATACAATACAAATCATCCACTTATTCTATGCACTGATGACACTGGGGTGTTCTCTACTAGTTTATCTAAAGAATACGCCATTGCTGCTACTGCTTTTGGTAGGATTTCTTTTCTTAGTATACAAGCACACTAAACCTAGGAGTTTATTCAACTAACCCGGTTATTGCTGCTTGTTTCCATTATCTTATCTCTTTTATCTGTGAAAGGTCTTGGGAAGAAGGAAATGTTCCAGCTAGCAAGGACCGCGGTTGGTTATTCATTTGTCGAGGAACAAGTTGCAAGTAAATTGAAAGATTTGTTTGATCTGGTAGAAAAGAGTTTAGCTTACAATGATTGATGTGTTGCAACTACATTAGGTATGGCTTATTAGTATTTTCCCAAACTCTATGTTCCTTATTTTTGTAATATACTAGCTTTGCCCTCAACAATGAAGCAGATTTATCAGGATTGAAAAAAACATCCTAGAGTGGTTATCTTAATCCCTGGCAGGTTGTTAGGACTCCGACTAGCAACAATGAATTGCGTTTGCCATTTCTTTGGCGTTTGGCGAACAGTACTATACATTTATTTGTCTTCTTGTTGACATAATTCTGCACCATACGAACTAATTAATCTAACAAAGCTGACCGAACATAAGTGAACAAACTAAAGGAGCAGTATTTGATAGGAATATAGGAGAGGTAACATTGTGTATTAATGGTAACGAGTTTACGTGCGCAGAGTATTCTGTAAGGAAAGGTGGTATCAAGAGGGAATAAAATGTTTCATATTTGAAGTATGAGTTCAGATGTTCTACTTCAAATGCTCAATTATTAATCTGATATAGTACAGAATATAACTTAGCTTACATTGCCTATAATGCTGTTATAAAAATGTACAAAAATTGTTGACTTTGTTCTGCTCATGTACGAAGGATATTATTATTAAAGATGGTTTATTGCATCTTTTTAAGCTTAATGATTATTTTGTCTTTTAATGATCTTGTAGAATGTTCAACTAAACTAGAATTAAGGCATCTTGATTTGGTGGTTGTTTGGATTGACCCTTGCATTAATTTTTAAGTGGTTGACTGGCTGATAATTTGGTATAAAGTACTCCATATAATGGGTTAGGTCAATCGTTTAATGCAAATATGTCATAAATAACGCCATCACTCTTTCCAATTATCTTTTGGAAGGGAGATTGAGTGAGTTAGTATTTTGACTTTCAGGTGGGACATTGTGGGAGAATACACTTCGAGAGGATCTTTTCTTAAGGTCTTAAGGCGTGCCTTCATTTTACCTTTAAAAAAAAAAAAACTAAACTAAAATTTACTTTCGAAGTTTTCTTCTCTCTTAGAAGTCTTATTACTTTGGATCTAGTAAACTTGCATTAAAAAAAAAATTTGACAAATTGAAAGATTGTAATAAGATGATATTAAAGCAAAAGTTTTCAAATCCAAGTAGATGTCTAAAATGATGTGGTGCTCTTTTTCTATATGCCAATATTAACACTTTACACCAATGGCATGTTTTGTTTAAAAGATTCATGAAAATTGTCAACAGTCCATAAGAAACCTTTAGAATTTCAAATTATACAACCTCAAATTATTTAGAACTATTTTGATTAAACAAAAATATAACTTGAAAATGTGGAGGGTAAGTTTCGTCTTCTGATCAACGCTTTTTTTCATTGTCAAACTTACTTGTCGAACATTTTTGTCCTCTTTTAAGGGTATTACGTGCTACTTATCTAACATGTTTGTCGGAAAATGCTTGGGTGACCCTAAGGGTTGCCAACCCTCCTAGACACAATAAAATAAAATAATAATATATGTGCAATAAATTAGAAAGAGAATTAGCATAATATTAACTAGATTAGTCTCGTGCAATGCGCGATTTGAACAAATAAAATTTTCTAAATTTGTTGATTTTTTTCATATCACAATTCAAAAAAATCCCGAAATAAATAATAAATCAAACATTAATAATACAATAGAGGTTATAGAAAAATTGAATGATGAAAGGGGTATCTAAGGAAGAGAAATTGAATAATTTAGATTATTTTTCGAAAATTGATACTAATAATAATATAGCTAATCAAAAGTTTAATAAAATAAAATAAAATAAAAGTATAAATTAATGACATCATGTATAATTTTGGAGGGTAAATTTTTAATAACAACTTGACATGTGTCTAGCATGATGTCAGCGGTTGTTATTTTAGTATTGTTGACCAAAATTTTAATAATAAAATAAAAACATAAAATGATGACATTATTTATAGTTTTGGAGGGAAAATTTTTAATAACAATATGACATGTGTCTAATTTAAAGATAAGATGATGTCAGCGGTTGTTATCTTAGTATTAGTTATTAGTTATAGATTATAGATGTTTCAATGTATTCTTGACCAATGAAAAATCAATATTAAGAGAGTTGGCAACCAAACACAACTTATTTTAGTAGGAATTTTCATTTCCAACGGAAATATCTTCCAACCAAACAAGCACTTAATTTGTTTTAAAATTATAGATCACTTTTTTTTTCTTCTGGTGGGGTTGTTATTAGGAGATGAGATGGCTCTTGGTATGTAGGTTTCTCCTGCTTTGGCTGCTGAACTGTATGCTATGAAATTGCGGATGATTTGAGGATAAAGAAGGTGCTCATAGAAACTGATGCTAAGGTTCTTGGTGATATGCTGCTGGCTTCAGGACCAAATCCGCATCATGAATGTTTGTGATGTTGCGGCTGTTCTATCTAGGTTTGAGGGAGAAGAATCAACTTGCGGTGTTTGGCAAGGATATGGATGTTGGGTATAAAACCCATTACCTAGTTCCAGAATGTATGAATCAGAGCTTGCAAAGGTGCCTGCTGCTAAGCCTTCAACTTCAAGTGTTCTTAGCTATGGATTTTTGGGTTGCTTCATGTACTGCCTCACATAGGAACTTCTCTAAGTTATGGATGCCTTTTGTTTTTGGGTTACTGAATCAACTAAATAGTAGGTACTTGGCGGATGTATTTTCAGCCCTTGTGAAGGGCTTATTTTGTTGTTGCATCAATTTTCATTATATAAATTAACTTAGCATTAGCCTAATAATATAATCTATCTTCTCTTTGCCTATGTTTGGTAAATGGCTTTTTGGTTAGCTTTTGGTTTTTGGCTTTTTTATGTGGTCAAACAACCAAAAAAAAAGTGTTTGGTAATTGGTTTTTCATTCAGCGAAAAAGTTGGCTTTTAAGCCAAAATGAAAAAGCGCTATGAGTAGCTTTTTTTTGTTGGCTTTGGGCTTGGTGGCCCACAAATTAGCTAATAAGCAGCCAATAGCCACCAATAAAATTTACCAAACACTTATATAAACAGTCAATTTCAAAAGTCATTATAAATAGCCGAAACATTCCAACTGGACAAATAAGCTAAGTGAACCAGCCAACGCTAGCAGAAAACAACCAATTGCAAAACAAGGCCTTTGTGTTAAAAAAAAATACGAAGTATGATGGACCCCTTTTCAAGAGGGAAAAAAACCCATAAAATCAGAGTCTTCTAATAAAACATTGACTTTGATGCAACGACGTCGTCGTTTTAGCGGGAGAAACTGAAAAACAAAGAAAAGTACTCATCATCTTCATCGTCAAGATTCAAGAAGACACGAAAATATTGAAAAACCTTCAATTTTTCCTTTAAAAATAAAAAATAAAATTAAAGTTGCTTCGATTTGACATTTCTGATACGTCTTTCTCTCTCGTCTTTATCGTTGTAACTACTATAAATACATCATTCAATTCCCATTTTTTCATTCATCATTATTATTTTTCGATCAAATTGATTTGGGGAATTTTCCAAAATTCTCTCAATTTTGTGCATTACCTTAACCCTAAGTTATCGATAAATTTCTGGAAATCGGCGAATTTGCATCAATTTTGAGCAAATTTTTGTGATCAAAAGCGAAATGTCATGGGGATTAGGATGGAAAAGACCGTCGGAAGCATTCCATTTGACGCTCCATTTCGGCGAAGAAGCGGAGGATGATGAAGATGAAGCGGAGAGAGATTCGATTGTTGTGGTCGACAATGGCGGCGATTTCTCGAAGAAAACGGTGGAGATGGATTGGACAGCAGGAGATGATGAGGATCAGGTGGCGTTGAGGTTGCAGTCGAAGTTAATGGTGGAGATGCCGCCACCGGAGGATACGGTTGTTGTTGAATTGGAGGAGAGAGAAAATGATGGCGAAGTTGCGGTGGAGATGAAGGTTGTGAGGAGGAGAGAGCCGTTGAGAGCGATTACAATGGGGAAAACTGCTGGTTCTGGTCAGCAGAGTGATGGCATTGGGGTTTTGACGAGGTTGTTGCGGTCTAAGGTTGCCGCGACAGCGGTGGCTACTGGTTTTGGTGATGGATGTGTGAATTTTTCGGAGCATTGGAATACTGTTACTGCTTTGAGTCTTTGTGGTTGTGGTATTTCTGTAAGTATGCTTCTAGTTATCTTGTATTGAATGAGTTTTTGTTGGATTGTTAAATTGTTAGTTAATAAGGTATTGTGATTGTTTGAATTTGATTGGAATATTTGTGATAATTGGATGATAGGGTCTTGCCTTTAATGCTTTTTATGTTACGGACCTATGGTTTAATGTTTACGCGGGTACTTGAGGTGAAAGGAAGAGTGTGAATAACATAAGCTGATGCATGTTTTGTATGCTTCCTAAGGTGTAATATTAGGGGAATTGCCAGTGGCTTTAACTTGATAGAATTACTGTAAGTTCTAAATTTCCTGCAATAAGCATATGGAAGATATGATATGATCGCGTTTGAATTGATCAAATTAAGCCTCCCACATTAATTTAAGCCTAGTAGGTGTCAAAGTTGTTATCCTGAAAGATGGCCTATGCTAAACTGATTTGAGTCTTAGAGACCTCTCAGTGGTACAGGAAGAAAGGTGGAATTTTGAAGCTTAGAAAACATTTATCTAGTTTCTGGAAGCATAAATAATGACGGTGCAAATGAGATGGTCGATAGATGTATGAATTTTCATAAGACTATGACACATACACCATTATTTATGTGGATATCTCTGCTGGCGAGTTCAGAAGTCCTTCAGAGGTCAACATGTAAGTAATTTTGCC